TTTTTTTTTTTTTTTTTTTTTTTTATGAACATAAACCGTTTCTATAGTAATGACACAGAAAGACCGCTGGATGTTGTGAACTTGTATGGGAAGTATTGATAACGTTAAGGATTTTGTCCTTTGTCCTGGAAAAGAGTAGTATTATTTTGTTATTCTGGACTTGTTTTTTTTTTTTTCAGACAAGAAAAATTGCGATTTCACTGAAAACATTGAATAATATTTTCGAGACAACAGTCGTTTAAAAGCAATAACTTATCGGAACAAAAAACCACGTCAAGATGTATTGGAAGTATTTATTTTTAATATATTTCAGACGATGTAAATTCACATTCACAGTTGTACAAAAAATGTTGTTTGTATTTCGTGTATAAAAGTTGTGTTTTCATAACATATTCGAGAAAATTAACACTCTCATATAGCGTTAAAAAAAACACTCACTTGATACAAAAATAACTGATTTTTAGACGGGCGTAGAATTGGAATTGGTAGAATGCCAGCCTCTTTTGGAATGGCTGGCGAACAACTACAAGAACTTTGGAGCCACCTTAGAAATTATCACCGACAAGTCTCAAGAGGGATCTCAGTTCGTCCGCGGGTTCGGTGGAATTGGAGGTGAGTTTTTTGTTGTCCCGATTTGATAGGTTCTCAAATTCGCCACAAACCGTGGTTGTATTTCTATCATATTCTAAACAACTTTAAATCAATCATTTTTTAAGGTTGCGAAACATATACATTTTGTTCACCATTATTTCACGTTGTGGCACATTTTTATGACTGCACGCTTGCTTAATCGAAAAAATGTAGTAGGTAATGCACGAACGAATTCTATAACATGTTTACTAACCAAAACTTGTCTTTATATTTAACGCTGCTTGGATCAATTAAGGCATTCTCCGATACAAAGTGGACTTTCAGTCTTTGCAGGCCGACGAACCGCTGGATGACGTAGACCTTGATGATTATTAAAGGTCTATTTCGTCAGCAATTTCAACAAGGTATTAATTGATTCTTTCTTGATGTTGTTTTCGTTTCAATAGCGTTGAAAAACTTCAACTGAAAGCTTAGCTTTCGTTTGTCTTGTGATGGTAAGTTGAATTCGGCTGTTGCTTTGATAAATTTATGCTAAGCTGGGAGATTACCGCAAGACTTCCATAAATGTCTATGAAATGAGAAATATTTTGTCATGAAGGCATATATTGAATGTGTTGAGCTCTCCAGCCAATCACAGTGCAGCATTCGGATCACGCGAATGGTAGTGGGGATCGGGTGACAAGTGAAGGATGTCACGTGACGAATGACACAACTGTTCAGTGGGCGTGGCATCTCATATGATCAGCATGCTGCTCTCTGATTGGCAGGAAGATGAAAAACTTGTATATGAGTGTCTTTTGTCGTGTGAGATACGACGGAGGAGTTATTGAAAGTTTAGGTGAGGTAATCATTGAGTTATTCCTTTTCAGGTTTGTTACGGTACAAAGTGGACTTCCAGAGTATGCAATTAGAGGAATTGGAAAACGGAGAGGATTTCGATATAGACGATTACTAAATGTCTGTAAGAATTATTTGGTATTGACTGCATTTGTAAGGTTAGCGCCGTTCGGACCAGATAAAAGGAAACTGCGACTCAGTATCCAGAATGCGCAATATTTTGATAACTATTATAATTTATATAATTGTGTACATTGTGTGCTTTGCACAGATAATCAATAAATGATACGGTTGCTATTCCTCGTACCGTTGAATACTGTTCTTAGTTTAAATCTCTGTTGAATTTTGTATATTGAAAGAAATATTTTTTGTCTTTTTCAGTTGAACTTTATTAATTATCTAGGTATACATTAGTCGGTTTTTATAATTATTATATTAGAGTCATTTTTACCGGAAGCTAAATCAAGTGATTCGTCAGTTCAAGGGGTGATTACGACATTTAATAATTGCAGTGAGGAAATGAGAAATGAACCGTGCTGAATGTATTATTGAATTGTGAAGGAATCTGTGTTTGTTGCCTCTGGATTGGTCAAATAAAAGATGTTTATCTCTCTTTTCTACATTTTCTTTTATTTCCTTTCAACCTATTTTCCATCTTTTCTAATGAGAAGTCGACGACCAATTTTTAAAATTTTAATAAACAAAAATCCCGTTCAGTAATTATTCGGAATGAAGGACATTTAAGGCAAGCCTCCTTTAAATTTTGTAGCGGATAAGGGTAAAGGTTCAGGTAAAAAACCCATGGAAAGAAAAGAGAAGAATGTTCGTTCTACGAGTGAAGTATAAAAACAAGTACAATGGATATACACATCATCGGATAGCTTACTTTGGCGGTTATTTATGGAATATGGTCGTGACGTCATCAACGGTGCTTGAGAAGCAAGAAAATGTTTGAACTTATATATCAGCAAAATTGAACATAAAAAAGTATAATTATGAATTCGAAAAATATGGAATAATTGCAAATATGACTTCTTATTGTTTTTTTGGGTATATAACCTTCTACAATCTGACAATTAAACAAAGCTAAATCAATCGTCAGCAGATTCTTTATTGATTTAGCTTTGTTTATTTTTCAGATTGTGGAAGGTTGTGTACCCCAAAAAAAACAGAATAATTTACTCAGTTGTTCAATGTAATCACGATGAAATGATAACACAAAAATCAACGAGAAAAAACAGCTGGACCGATTTCAATTTCAGCACCGCTAATGACGTCACCAAAATGCACGATTTGTTGAAAGCACGAAACCGAGCGGTCCCTTCAACATGTATAATCATCAAGTCAGTTTTGGGCAGGCAGAAACACTTCAATAGTGGAAAATGTGGTGTGGTTAGTGGAGTGGAGTGTGTGTGTGTGGTTTGTTCTGCGGTGGTGTATTTGTGGTGAGAGGTGTGATGCGGTGACACGACATGTGTAGTGTCGCTTGTATATGTGCGTGTTCTGATATATTTCCACGGCCAGAAAAGTAATATTCTGAAGTCAGGTGTCAATCTGACTGTTCTTCAGGTCTCTGCGAAACTTAAAATATGTCTGTTTCCAAGCGAGAACTGTATCAATACGCATAGAAATACCATGGCGTTGAGATTTTGACAAAAACTTCAGATTTCTACGCATCTTTGTCCTGAGGCTTTGGCTTCCTCCCAACTTTAGTTGATTCAGTAAGATGAGCACCGCGCCACCTATGGTCAAAATCCGTCGGGAATCTGCAACCATAGTATAAAGATATCTTTATACTATACTGTAACTTTGTGATTTCTATTAATAGATGTTTTGTTTATAGGAAAACTACTAAAATTACAACAGAGGCAGCTACAGCTGCCTGTCTAGGAAATCATATAGATATGGTGGATATCGAGTGTCTTGATGTATGTTTGAAAGTTGTTGACAATGTTTCGTGGTGTATTTCATCAGTTCGGACTTCCATTGTTCCAATATAATATAAATTGATTTGATAACCCTGAAAAAAATAAAAAGAGATTAACCGAAAGTAACAATTTTATTAAACAAAAAACTGAAATTACAAAGAAATAACATACAACAACAACCAAACAAATAAAAATTGAAATATTAATAAAAGCTGAAAAAATTGAAAAAGTAAAAATATTATTAACAAAAATTGAAAAAATAAAAATTGAAAGATTTCAAACAAAGTTATGTCACAACGTTTCGATTGTTGGTATCTACAATCGTCTTCGGGTGATAACTGGACTTATTCTTCCGAGATCTGACTAATTATAGGTCATTCAAGTGCTTCCCTCTTTCCGCTACATTGGTTTTGGCGGGAGATGACCGTTTGGCGAGAGTTGGTTGTTTTTTGCTTGATTAGAAGTTTCCATATGTTACGTATCTCTACGCTAGCTTGACTAAATGCATTGTTGGACAACATATACGGCGCGGCTTCTTTGAATCTTCTCTTAAACCAGTTTTCCTCTTTGTGAATGATTTCAGCTTGATCCCACTTGATGTTGTGTTGACGAGTCCAAACATGCTCTGCTATTCCGGATTTGTAATTTCAGTTTTTTGTTTAATACAATTGTTATTTCTGGTTGATCTTTCTTGATTTTTCTCAGGGTTATCAAATCAATTTATATTATATATTAGACAATGGAAGTCCGAACTGATGAAATGTCTTGATGTAAATCCAGGAGATAATTTCATTGGAAACAGCACTCAAAGAAAGGCAAACCATAGGCGTGTTTTTCGGGCATTTGGCCCATCATCAGTATGGTGCAGCCAAGTGCAAGGATGGACATGAAATTTTACCATTTCATCTGTCCAGTTTTTCTCAATGAATAAATAGAACTCACGTAATGAAAACTAAAGCAGATGAAAGTAAAAATCTTTTAATACACAACAAATAAATTATGAAATTATTGAAATCGACATCACAATAGTGAACATTAGAAGCTGCTGAACTCTTAAAATAATCTCTCTTCATGTCTAGACCAACCACCGAAAATTCAGTATTTGATTGTTGCCACTTTTCCTTCAACCTGGGGTGCTTCAGAGTTTTCATCAGGAACGTCTGGTAGATTAATCGTCAAGTCCTCAAACTGCTTCTCCATCATACTATCATTCAAACCTCCACCATCATGAGGTTCATCATGTGGTTCTTCTCTCATTAGCTCTGCCAATTCCTCTTCCAGATCAGCATCGTTCGATTCCTGAGCTGGCCTTGCTAAAGCCATCTGGATATCGTCGTGCTTGTCCAACATCTGGAAATGATGAATTAATTATAAGTGATACACAAGAATATCATTCAATAATTTAAAAAAGCAAGCTTACCTCTCCGAGCTTGATCATCGTGTCATCTATGGCGTCTTCAGACAAACCTGTGTTCTTGAAGGATTCATCAAAAGCAGAGAGAGCTCCCTTATAAGCCTCCCAAACGTGGGCATCTTTGTGGGTTTCCTGAACTTTTTCGAGCAAGTTTTGAACGTTTTGTAAGGCGTTGATTTTCTTTTCCAGCCGCTTTTCTAAATCGTGTTTCTTTCTCAGAGAGCTCTTGGCCTGTAACAAAAATTAATTCTCAATTCATCTGGTCCTAAAACGGATCCTTGCAGAACTCTAAATTTGAATAATTTTCCAACCAACTTTGTACTAATTACATTGTTGTTACCATTTGTCTGTGATTCTTCGCAAGATGCATTTTGGCTTCCTGGACGCAAGCTTCTATATTGTCCTCCAGCTCTTCCAGACTTCTCGAAATTACTTTTTCGTTCTGCTCCAGGGTATAGATACCTGTGTCCGTTTCAGTTATTGGACACACTTTGCCATTTCCGTCACCAAATTTTATCAAGAACGTATCAAGATCATCACTTTGCTTGTTGCTATCCAACTTCGTAACCTCAATTATACGTTGATTAGCTAAATGATGCAGTAAAAGCTTCACGTTATCGGCCTGGTTGTAACTTTTTTCTACGGTAGTCAGCAGGTCTTTCAAACTAATTAACTTGTTTTTACGACTGTCTGGTAAAGACTTCAATAGATCATTACATTTGCTTTTAATAACTTCTAAATGCACAAAAGATTGCTGACTAGTATCCAAAGTGAACACTGAATTTTTTATTTTATTAAACGACCATACTACAGGTTTCTTAATCAAAACGTCCGTTGCCCAACCAGTCCAAGTTGGGGCCATTTTCCTGGAAAACTCATCCAGAGGCTGTATTTCTCCATTTTTATGCATATCACACAAAACCTCTTGTAAACAACTAGGCGGTCGTCCGTTTCTGATGAAAACATTGTTGAGTGAACTCAACGTGAAAGTGTAAATATCGTTTGCCTGACAATAACTTCTAATGATAGTTTTCCAGGAGGAGATTTTGCTGTCCCAGTCCTTGGGATTTACACTTCTGTTTCTCAACGGTGCGAATAAAACGTTAATCCTTTGTTCATCTTTCAAACATTCCGGTAAAATTTCTTCTGGAATTCCAAACATATTCAAACTACGCACCATAAAATATTGATATAATATTGCAAGAATGGGGAAAATAAAATAAAAACAAATACAAAATAGAAGGTAAAACAAGAACCATCTGTAGACAGCAATATCCTCTCATGCAAACTTATTACAAGGTGCTATTATTGACAATAAAGATTGCACAAATCAAATGCAAATCAGGGCAGAATAAATTAATTTCAACTCAAAACTGAAAAATCCACAGGATTCAGACGTATATTTTGGATTTGAGATTACGTTTATGTTAAAACTCCGCTTTCATGGTGAAATGATTTACCCGTAAACTCAACTTGTTTGATAATTGAGCCTGGGTGTTAATTTTCGAAATCTAACTTTCAGTAAATGTATTGAAGGTAATAATAATTGAATATGTGCTGAACTGCGATACACATTTCCATGACTAGAGAACTGAATCATCATTTTGTGCAATTAATAATCTTATTTGCACCCATCTCAAACCACACTTAAACTATGATTGTGCAACTGGGCCTTACTTATATTAAGCCTATCAGCAGCAATCGGTTTAAATCCTCAGAATTTTTTCATTTTGTTAATTTTGAAGTAATCATTTTATGGATTTGATTCCGTCTATATTCTAGTACACTAGTGGAGGTTTGTATACCTTGCATAAAGTGAGCGATTCGAGAATAGGGTCTCACATAGTTAGCGGAGGCCAAGAAGATTTGAGAAAAGAAGAAGAATTTTATATACAGGGTGAACCAAAAAATAAAAGTTCTACGTGACGTTTGAAATGACAGACATCGTACGATTCTTTATTTTTACGTCACATATAGGTATAGGTACCTAACCCATCAATTAATTGGCGTTTTTGAGTACGCGTGTAAACCATAATAATCATTAAAATATTTGTTTAAATAGCTGATTACTAAGGTCGAAGTTCATTATTGTTCTAAAACGAATGTTACAAAACACGTGAACCTTTTAAGGCATTCATTTCAGTTGCGATATTTCTTATATTGTTGATAGGAAGGCAACAATCTCGAAATGTACAGAGGTAAGAGGTCACCTCGTTAATTATTAGATAATGATGTTTACTGAATTATGCAAATCTCTATACCGACCCATGCAATCCGTCGTGATTATCACGTTTATAAAATGATTTAATAAGTTCATTTGGGAGTCGACCACTGAACGTGAACGTTATTCTAACCAGTGAATTAACAGTTACAAGTTTTTTGTTGCAGTCGTTAAAATCGATGGCCCCTCACAGCTGTAAGGGTTGTCTGAGAGATATTATAGCAGCCAGGATGTCGAGGGAAAGCAAGGAAATAGCTATGGATGTTAACGGGGAAAATCAAAACGGTGCCTATAGTCCATGTAAGTTACATTTCTGGTAATTGCGAGGTTTTCAAAAACTCAATCTGATATAAGAGGAATAACCTATCAGGTAAAATAACAACTGCAAATTACAAAAAAAGTTGGGAGAGCTGTTGCTAACTACATTGCTAAACCATCGTCTAATTCAATCAATTTTGCAATATAAAGAGTCCAAAGAATTTCCAATCTACAAAAATAAGGGTTTAGTAAGCAAATCATACTTTAATTTGCTTACCCAGCTTTATTGCCAAGATTTTTGAATTGACATACTTTAGGCAACACGACGGATGTACCTTATTGCTTGTATTTCACTTAGAAATCATTGAATGATGAAAAACAGGCTATAGAACTCTTTTACGATCATTCTAGTGTTTTTGGCCCAGAAGACTCTAAACTAATTAATGTTCTGTAGGAGTATACCAAGGCTCTGTACCTGGACCTTTATTTTTCTTCATTTGAATAAGCAGCATTAATGGCATATGGAATAGCTGATCATACAAACTTAAATATCTCACTTCATCAATTCAAATAACTTGTTGACAACTCCAATAAAGCATCACAGTATCAATTCCAACTATTGGAGCAATCAATTCAGTGATATATTTTTACATATATATGTTTTCAATTATTTTGTTGTATTATCAAACGTTGAATAGTTCTATATGTGTGTGTTCTTATTTGTATTTTTGTGTTATCGTATAATGCCTTTCATTCATTTGTTTTGTATTTTATTAATTGTATTGAGTGAAATGGGTTTTGAAACACGCCTGAGGAAGCTTTTGTTCAGTGAAACACAGTGAAGTTTTACTTGGATGTGATGTTTTTTAATAAGAAGAGCAAAAATAGTTATCCGGGATAAATTATTATTCAAGGAATTATACATGAAATTGAAAGTTGAGTTGTTTTGACCATTTACGTCCCTCCCATTAAGTAGAAATCAAACCATTTGTGATTCCAAACAATCAACTGTTGTTTTCTTGTAACAAATTCCAAATTATTTCACTAATTGGCTTTGTACTGGGAAGAAACGCCCTTCGAAGATTCATTTACCAAATACAAAAGTGGACATGGAACACTGTGATCCTCAATGACGGTCATCGATGTTTCAGAATAAGACACATGTCTTATTGCGACTTCATCACGACTGTATGTCACGAATGAGTTGAATCTTCTCATGTGATATCACCTAAATATGTCCAAAACACGCCCTTTTCCCAATCACCAGAACTGCAACACTCTTCTAGACGCGCGTTTCACCATCCAAGTTGACGTCTTCAGGACACGAATTAAACGGCTTATTTCATAATAATAATAAGGTTGGTGATATACTTGATCCTTGTGCTACACCTGTTCTTCAATACTGTTGATTTCACTTATTGGTTTCTGTTTCATAGATATGAGATTGTCCATTCCAAACATGGTGATCAACAGAATCGAATGCTTGGGTCATGTCAAAAAAACCATCGAACTTGGCGTGCTTTTTTTTGTTCTTGGCTCTCCTGATGTCAATTTGTCCGGGCTATAAAAAGAAGAAAATCAAATTATGCAAGAAGAATAACTTGATAGTTCGTACTGAAACGCGGTCTCTTGACACGTGTTTCGCTAACCAAATTATTCAATTCAATTCAAATATACTTCATTGTCTGAAAAATAAATTCTTATTGACAAAGCCTTGTGCGAAATATAAGTAACATATACATGAAATCCGAGTATCCGTAAAATAATTTTATGATTCACACAATCAAATGCTTTGGCTAAATCACAGAAGACCGCAGCCACTGTTTCTTTGTCATTTATGTTGGAATAAACATTGTAAAGAAATGAAAATATGGCATCGGAAGTGTTTTGTTGCTTTTGGAAACCAAACTGGCAATCACTTATTATTTTGTTTTCATTCAGAAAGCAAAGGAGTCTTGTTTTGACTAATTTTTCTATCGATTTAGCCATTGCAGAGATTAGAGAAATTCGACGAAGACTTGATGGACCATTGATGACTTCTCCTTTGACAGTGCTAACTCAATCGACTTCTTCAAAAAAACTGAAAAGATTCCTTCTCTAAATGAATTATTTATTAGACTAACTAATATATCGAGTATTCTTATCGGAATATTTTCTCTTTTATGAAAACTACTTGATTTTCGTCAGGAGGAACGTTCCCCATTACCATAAAGAAAAATACAACATGTCAGACCACATAAACTAACCTATAATCAATTTGTCAGTTGCAATAAGAGTGGTGACTGATATTTTAAATGCAAACGGAGAAAGATTTCTCATTTCTATAAGTATACAATTATAAACCTTGGCCATATTGTAGGAAAAAGATGACTTGAGAAGAGAAGTTTTGAAACGAGGAATTGTAAGTTGATTTTCAATACGGATATTCACATCGTGGATTTGTGAGCGAAATCTCACTTTGCTGTAAAGATATCGCGACTACAAAATTTTGTGTATAAGAGAACAAAAATGAAGTTAACGTCTTTTTCTCATATCTATCCAGACCAATTCAGATGCAGACGAAATATTACTACGTCGACTAAGGCCACATATAAGCCTGACACATTAATTTCGTATCATCTGAAGTCTTTGACTATCAGTTTGCAATAAAGCAGGCCCATATAAGCAGTCAGCATAGTTAAGGTGTACAAGTTCTTACATTTTATCGTTAATAAATGTCTATTAGAGAAGTTTCAAATCACTGAATGCGTTTTTATGACAAAGGAAACATGATTACTAAATTTTAGTTCAATATCTAGCATGAGCCCCAGATTTCTCTCACAAATGGAAAATATTAATGGCGAATTGTCTAGAAACGGGGTTAAATTGTGTTTGTTTCTTTCTCGTGCTCCTTTGCGTCCAAAAAGCAACGCTTGAGATCAAGCTGGATTTATCGTCAAACAGAATTTCTTCGATAAAGAAGCCAAAGTTTGTAGATCGGAATTCATATGGTCACAGGCAAAACGAATATCACTTTCTTTAAAGGACGGGTAAAGTTGTGTGTCGTCCGCGTGATAGTGAACCGAGAAGTGAAGTATATGTTTATGAAATTGCGAAATATAAATAGTATACAGAAGGGGTCCAAGGATTGATCCTTGGGGCACTCCTCTTTTTATAATTGCAAAATGAGACAGGATTCCATTGAACATCACAGACTGATGACTCTTTCAGATAGATATTGCTTAATAACCTCAAATGCATCATCAGAGAAGTGTAAAGTAGCCAGTTACAGTTCGTCATTATCTAGGGCAGCAAAAATAACATTGGATAGGTCCATTAAGTATCCTAATATGGTAATTCGATCCACATGAGGAGCCACGAGGTCTCCTGCGATTGAACTTCTGGATAGTTATTCAGATAAGTTTCGAAAAATTTCCAATTTTACAATACAGCGTACAACGGTATCATTTACGGTCAATCTCTAACTGATGAATATTAAAATTTTACATTCATTAACTGAAATGTTAGAGACCTTGACTCGAATATTTTTTTCGGCCGGAATAATTTTCAACGACGTTCTGTACGGCTCGTGCTGAGTGCGATAATTGGTTTGGTTTTTCGAACCTTATCTAGATTCTCGTCAAAGTCGTTTAGATAAAAAACGCGATGGAAGTTATCTGAAGTTGGTCGATTAATGAAATAAATCGCGACAAGGTTCCTTTTTTTGCTTTTATTTTGATCGGCGGCGAATGTGAGTGGCACTCGATCGGAAAGTTGTGTAATTGTTTTCTTTTTCTCGAGAATAATTCCCCGTCCAGTGCAACGAATAAAAAATGGAGTTGGGCTCAAGTAAGTCGAGTTACTTTAGAAACTTTCAGTGTTGCTCTTGTACAGGGTGTTTCTAAAGTTCTGGCTTCACTTCTTTGCTGTTGTTGGAACCGAGTCTCATTTCTCGCGCAAGGAATCAACATACACGTTTCTGATTCTCGTCTTACAATATAGAATCGAAGTGTAATTAAGTTAATATTCATTTTGATTACTTTTTTTTTCAATAGTTTTGTCCGTCTACTTTGAACTGTAATATCTAATTGAATACTCATTCAATTTGAACGACAAGAACGTTAATTATTGAGAAAGGTCTTAGAGAGGTACAGTTGATGATTGGTTTGATTTATATTCATCTGATCGCTTTCAAAAAGTCTGCCTGGTTGAAAATGTTTCGGGCTTGGCTGCCATCATTAGTGGTGTACCCCAAGGGTCCATTCCAGGCCCTACTTTGTTTATTATTTCCATCAGTGTTCTATTTCACGTCATTGGTAGAAACAATTACTTCTGTGCAACAGCTGATTGTTCTAACATCTTGATCACACATAATTATTATGACAGCTGTGTTTTCATAGCCAAAGTTAGCTTATGGGTTCAAAAGAATAAACCAAGACTCTTCGCCCTTCATTCAGTAGGTCAAGATTCTCAGGAAGAACCGTTTCTTCAAATGAAACAATCCTTGAATATTAAGAACAATAAAAAGTGCTTGGATTGGTAATTGGTTGTAACCTCAACTGGGCGAAGGAAGATCGTCCTCTTGAAGATGATCACTTGGTGATCGAAACACATGTTAAGGTGTTTGGGAAAAAACTCCAGTAATATTCAAAGTGAATGTTGATTTTTTTTTTCATTTTATCGCTCTATTGAATCTAGGTATGTATAAATTATTTCAATTTGATATAGGCGCTGTTGCCAATATGTGAATTAGAAACAAATCCCTTCAAAAATTAAAACCCAACATTTGAAACATCAATTTGAATACTTTTTGAAATGAATTTGAAGAACTCATGAATTAAACTCAACTTTATTTTGTTCAAACTTGTATTTACTGTAATAACCCAAATTGAGGAACATTCCCCATCACGATAAGTCCCTTGCCGGCCAGTGTCGTACCAATAATTAGTTTCAATTAAGGTAGCAAATAGAACATGACATCTTTGTAATTTCCTTTCATATTTTATTGAGTATTATAAGTAGTAGAGCTGTTCATTAAAATGTTATATAGTGATACACTCTTGATGACTGGTTTTTTGTAAGGCGATGACACAAATTATTAGGGCAATGCAAAACGTCAACAACATTGGAGGACAAGTAATAATACGCCTCTGTACAGAGCATTTGTATGTCTTGCAAGAGTTGTAGTGGGGGTTACATTAAAAATGAGTTTGCCATCACGTTTGGCGCTTGCTGTACGTAAAGTATTTCTTTTCTTCAACATTTCTTGTACTACATCAAACCACCAGTTTATGGTAGTGTCAGCCAATGTTAACTGCACTATATTCTTTGTACCAAAAAGCCATATGTCCGTAGGGCATATTTATATAAATGTGTCAAACATGTGATAATTATTGTGACATGGATGCTATAGACATTTCTTCGGCTTTGAGCCCTTTTAATCAACTAGAAGTAGCTGATATCATGATAATGGTGAAATTATTATTATCATCGGCGAGAATGCAAATGGGAACGTTTGGGAAAAGGAATATCCATGTGTTTTGCAGTCAATTAAGAGTAGATCGTGATTTGGTAATGGTGAAGTTGTTAATATTTTCGGCCAAAAGGCAAATGAGGACGATTAGAGGTAAGGAAAATTCCTGTTCGTGGAGAAAATGGTTAAAGAAGTTCTCTAAACAACGGATACCATAACAGACAACGCAGATACGTCGTGTTCTTGTAAAACAAATTTATCGGGAACGTCTCGAGACTCACGAACGGGAGACAAAAAAAAAGGAATGTAAATAAAAGAAATGAGTTTTCAAAAAAGTGTTTCTTGGATAAAAACAGTTTGTGAAATACTTGGGAATATTTGAAATGAGTGCGGCTGAAGTAGTCGAAAAATAATTGCAATACATTCTCAACAGCCGGAAGAAAGATATTAAGGGTGGGAAGTTTCCAAATTGACATCCTGTATAACACTATCATTGCCAAATGCCTGGGTAATTCTGAAACAACCTGGAACTTTTCATAATCTTCTTTATGTAATATGTACATGTTTTTTTTTAGTAGTTGCAAAGTTTTCTATGCAATTATGTAATTTTCTTCAAAACGCATACAATTTTTCTCTTTGTCAAAAAGTTAGCAGTATTTTTGCTGATCTTGCCACAGTAATCAGTGCGATAAGCTTTTCCGCTTGTTCTCTTTTATCCCAAAACATAACATACGTTTGCATATGCACCTAACATTTATGTTTTTTATTAAATAGGGAAACTTTATGATGGCCTGTCCTTCATGACGGACACCTCAAGTATAAACGAAGATTTTTTATTATTTTATAATGTGCTATGTACATTCTGCAACCTGTTCTCACAAGTAAACTTTATTAGTTCTTCTGCGAGTCTAGCGTAACCTTTCCTCTTTTCATCAGCGATGCCTTGGTTTGGTATGGATATCGGTGGATCTCTGTGCAAACTGGTTTATTNAAATCCCTTTAAAAATTAAAACCCAACATTTGAAACATCAATTTGAATACTTTTCGAAGTGAATTTGAAGAACTCATGAATTAAACTCAACTTTATTTTGTTCAAACTTGCATTTGCTGTAATAATCCAAATTGAGGAACATTCCCCATTACGATAAGTCCCTTGCTGGCCAGTGTCGTACCAATAATTAGTTTCAATTAGGGTAGCAAATAGAACATGACTTCTTTGTAATTTCTTTTCATATTTTATTGAGTATTATAAGTAGTAGAGCTGTTCATTAAAATGTTATATAGTGATACACTCTTGATGACTGGTTTTTTGTAAGGCGATGACACAAATTATTAGGGCAATGCAAAACGTCAACAACATTGGAGGACAAGTAATAATACGCCTCTGTACAGAGCATTTGTATGTCTTGCAAGAGTTGTAGTGGGGGTTACATTAAAAATGAGTTTGCCATCACGTTTGGCGCTTGCTGTACGTAAAGTATTTCTTTTCTTCAACATTTCTTGTACTACATCAAACCACCAGTTTATGGTAGTGTCAGCCAATGTTAACTGCACTATATTCTTTGTACCAAAAAGCCATATGTCCGTAGGGCATATTTATATAAATGTGTCAAACATGTGATAATTATTGTGACATGGATGCTATAGACATTTCTTCGGCTTTGAGCCCTTTTAATCAACTAGAAGTAGCTGATATCATGATAATGGTGAAATTATTATTATCATCGGCGAGAATGCAAATGGGAACGTTTAGGAAAAGGAATATCCATGTGTTTTGCAGTCAATTAAGAGTAGATCGTGATTTGGTAATGGTGAAGTTGTTAATATTTTCGGCCAAAAGGCAAATGAGGACGATTAGAGGTAAGGAAAATTCCTGTTCGTGGAGAAAATGGTTAAAGAAGTTCTCTAAACAACGGATACCATAACAGACAACGCAGATACGTCGTGTTCTTGTAAAACAAATTTATCGGGAAGGTCTCGAGACTATCACGAACGGGAGACAAAAAAAAGGAATGTAAATAAAAGAAATGAGTTTTCAAAAAAGTGTTTCTTGGATAAAAACAGTTTGTGAAATACTTGGGAATATTTGAAATGAGTGCGGCTGAAGTAGTCGAAAAATAATTGCAATACATTCTCAACAGCCGGAAGAAAAATATTAAGGGTGGGAAGTTTCCAAATTGACATCCTGTATAACACTATCATTGCCAAATGCCTGGGTAATTCTGAAACAACCTAAAACTTTTCATAATCTTCTTTATGTAATATGTACATGTTTTTTTTTCAGTTGTTGCAAAGTTTTCTATGCAATTATGTAATTTTCTTCAAAACGCATAACATTTTTCTCTTTGTCAAAAAGTTAGCAGTATTTTTGCTGATCTTGCCACAGTAGTCAGTGCGATAAGCTTTTCCATTTGTTCTCTTCTATCCCAAAACATAACATACGTTTGCATCTGCACCTAACATTTATGTTTTTTATTAAATAGGGAAACTTTATGATGGCCTGTCCTTCATGACGGACACCTCAAGTATAAACGAAGATTTTCATTATTTTATAATGTGCTATGTACATTCTGCAACCTGCTCTCACAAATAAACTTTATTAGTTCTTCTGCGAGTCTAGCGTAACCTTTCCTCTTTTCATCAGCGATGCCTTGGTTTGGTATGGATATCGGTGGATCTCTGTGCTTATTGCTTTTCAGAAAATATAATAAAAACGACCCAGAACTATCTGTTGAATCATTCTCAAAGAGTTTAGGACGAAGAAACTTCACAAGATTCAATTTTCAGCAAGAGAGTTCCCCAAGGCTCAATACTAGGGCCACCACTTTTCTTGATTTATGTTAGATTATTTCAGAAGCTTTTTTGTTAATTTTTATGAGTCTACTTCTCAGTGGGTACTTATTCAGTTTACTCCAAATGAGGGCCATCCCAATCCGTGCACTTTTGCCAATGTAACACGAGTCGATTGATTGCGTCAGCATAAAAATTTCAGTTCGGGATTGGATGAAGTCGGCGAAGGCCGTTTTTGCCTGGTTCTGATTGGTGAAGGTTCTACCGGTGAGAAAGTTATCGAATTGCTTGAGAAGATGGTAGTCGATTGGCGAGAGGTCTGGGAAGTATGGTGGCCTAGACAGAACTTCGACGCTCATTGTCCAATGTTTTCGGGTTTATTAGTCGTGATCTGCAGGTGTTTTTGTAGCTGACGTTTAACCTCTTTCTTACGGTTGAGATTATTCTTGTTTTTGTATTTCTATGGCTTCTCTGGATAGCCTTTTACGCTTATTTCCGTGGTTCCCATATAAAATGAACCACAGCTACAGGGTATTCGGTTTACTCCTACTTAATGTATCCTTGGGATCTTTAGCTGACCTGAGACCATTTTCTACTGTTCTTGTGGGCTTGAAAATGGGCCCTAACTCCATGTTTTTCGAGGATCTTTCCAATTTTGTCCGCCACGCCGCCTTTGCAGGGCCGTCCGCAATATTGTTACCATCCTGAATCAAGTATGAAGTTGATAATTTTGGTTTTATCTAAACGCATAAAACTTGAGCACATCGTTGCTCAACATCCATTAGGTCTAGAGTCTAGAGAAACTACTTCTTTTAACATTCCATCGTTTTTAAAATCGTCTGTAATATTGGTTACAGATGGATAAAATCGAAATACGGGGAATATTGGGCACTCTACATTTCATTAGATTTCCGACAAGCGAGATGAAGAACTTTTTAGCACTGGCGAAGTACAAGGGCATGGCGAGGCTTGTGAATATCGTCTGCGCTACGGGAGGGGGCGCTTACAAATTCGAGGAGGATTTCAGGAGAGTAAGTATAAGTATTTGAGAAGTATGAATATTGTGACGAAAGCTTGGATGTTGTAAGACCGTTTTAATGTGTCCGGGGTTGTTTCTATAAACAAACTTCGTTTTTTTCTCAGGAGGTAAATATGCAACTGGCGAAATTTGATGAGTTTGAATCTATGATAACTGGTCTTCATTACATCGACCGAAACAACCTCACAGAATGTTACTATTGGGCTAACCCGACAGACGAAAGTAAATGTGCCAAAATGAAATACGATTTTTCCAGCCCGTATCCATTCCTGATTGTGAACATTGGTTCTGGTGTTAGCATATTGGCCGTGCATTCCGAAACTAATTATCAGAGAATTTCTGGCACTAGGTGAGTCACTTATAAGAGTATTCCGCCCTTTTTGAATCACTCTCACATTAACGCCTTAATTTCATTTGAAAGTGTGCTACAGCTAATTAAAGATTTGTACTTGTATCGCAGTATAGGGGGAGGTACATTCCTCGGCCTTTGCTGTCTGTTAACGGGATGCAATAGCTTCGAAGAAGCTATAGAATTGGCAGCTGAAGGCGACAATACGAATGTCGATAAACTAGTTAAGGATATATACGGCGGGGACTACGCCAGGTTCGGTCTTCCCGGAGATTTAGTAGCCAGCAGGTAATCAATGTTTATATTCTTCTGGAATGCTCTTTACTTCTCTAGCGTTGTGATTTCTTCCACTAGCTTTCAGTAGGCTATTTTTTTTCCAACCGTTCCTCAACCTCTCTAACCCGATAACCACTTGCTTGCTCTTTATAATTTTCTTTCGTCTTCTTCTATTCGTCCGCTTTTTTGCGCTCTTGGTGTACACTGAAGTTTCTCGGCCTTGTGTAGCTTTGGACAGATGAATTCGGAAGAGAGACGCAACAAAGTCAGCAAGCAGGATCTAGCAAGAGCGACGCTGGTCACCATCACCAACAACATAGGTTCCATAGCGAGGATGTGCGCCAAGCAGGAAAGGATCGATAGGGTGAGTTGAACGGATTTTTTTCCAGAACAAACACTTTTCCCAAACACCAGAGCTGCGATATACTATGCCGGACGCGCGTTTCGCGCGATATTCAAGAGAAATCTCGGTGAACTCTGTCAGAAATTCACGAACTGAATTTACATACATTTATATTGAATACCTTGAATTAATTAAATTCATGATTTGACCTACAATGCCCAACTTCATTCTTGCTGTCAATCTCAAATCTACTCTTCGTTCTGTCAGCTACCAAAAAGATATGGCAACACTGCCATTTCTGGGGTTGACGAGACAGTATTCTGAGGCGCAGGGTGGACCACATGCGGTAGATTTCTACTTTTTCGGTAGATTTTCAACTCAAATCGAAAAATTTTAGATGAATTTTCGTCGGTAGATTTGGATAAGGCGCCTTGGCGATAGAATTTTCATTTCAATGTGAGTGGCGACATCTGCAACAAATGACATGAATTCATTGTTTTCTAGGTTCTGCCCGCTTCGATACACAGAACACAAATTGGTTACAGATCATAAAACATCAATTTGCCGATTGCTTGTTACTGTTTTGTGAATATCGCTGGCCTCTGAATAAAGGAAGAAGATGATAATACATAATCTCATTTCACTTTTCGGTTTCAAACAAGGAAACATTTTTGTTTTTGAATCTTGAAATCTAATACTTGAAATAGTTAAAGTATTCGAAATAACCAACGACTAAGAATCAACTAGAAAACAACTTGCTATTTCAAGTATTAGATCACACCCATTGGCTATACTCGTAAGAAGGGCAAGGCCTATATTCAGTCATTCTATTCAAATGTCTTTACAATCGCCACCTAGTGGTCGAAAACTCAAATTTTCACAATGTTGGTGACCTTCAAATATATTTCAGTAGGTTTTCAAAGACACTGTAGGTAGATTTCTCAGATAAAATGTGGTCACCCTGCCAGGACGGATTTTAAGCCTACATTTGTGAATCTTTTAAGACTAACTTAGTATCTTAGTCATAGATTACAAATGTGGTGCTTTTCTGCCTGTTTCCATCCAGTTCCTCGTTATTTAGTTATGAATTATCACTCCCCCGTATGTCATTGATTCATGCAATTGATTTGTATTCCTAGGTGGTATTCATTGGCAATTTTCTGAGGGTCAATCCAATAGCAATGAAACTTCTCGCGTACGCCATGGACTACTGGTCAGACGGGACGATGAAGGCGTTGTTTTTGGAGCACGAAGGCTATTTCGGAGCTGTAGGATGTTTGCTTCAGTTTCACGAAGATCTCAAGAGATGAAAGTTGCTCCTTCACGTCTGCCTTTGATGTTGTTTTGCCGAACATTCCGAAAAATGAGGGGATATATTTTGCACAGTTGAAGAAAAGCACCTTTTGAAATATTAGTCGCAGATTTTTGTACTAAAACGTATTTTAGTTTGTAGTCACGTTTATTATTTATTGAAATTTATGTTTATATAGTGTAACAACATATTTATACATTTTTATACACTTAAGAAGAATGTTGGTTTTGATGAAAGGTTGTCTTTCTCTGTTGGATCGAAGAAAATGTCTTAGTATTTATTAAACGGTGTTGGATATGTTTTTTTAATGGAAACATGCATGAATTGTGTACAAACTCTGACGAATAGGGTTTACTTGGATGGATATACGGTAAATATGAGTCAAAAATTGGTTCTAAACAGTCAGTATAATATTAACAAACGAAGAAAGCAAAATAAAATTACTATCAAACGTTAAATTGAAAACATTTTTTGTTGTTTACTAGTCAGAATTAGACGAATATAAATAAAAAATGTGCTACTTGACCGGAATCGGATTAAAGAAAAGTTTGCGTATAGTTTGGCTGCTGTCTCTAGAAATATATTCATCCAAGGTGTTTACCTGTTGTTTATAATGAAATTTAGTACAAAATAAATTGTTGTCCCTAGACATCAACTTCATCGAAGAAATAAAAACTGAGCCCTTACTAAATTATGGCTTAATGCACCTCAACGGTAGCAACTGTCTTCTAACGACATATTCGTGGGATGTGCTCATGGGAAGCACTAATGATCTCTAACCGATTAGCAAACATAACTTTCACCGGCTATTTAGACACTTCTAAATTCAATATAAACCAGTGATGCCAACTTGGGGGGTTTTCTCCCTAAATTTAGGGAATACAATTTGAAAAAGGGAATTTTTTAAGGAGAAAATGACTAACTGATAACTACACACACGAAGAATAGAAAGCTGATGGGTTTTTCGAAATTATTAATGAATTGGGAATTAATATAGTATAAGTATTCATGCTCATATATGTGTGTTCATTTGATGTATTTATTTATCAGTTGATGTTGTGTACTGACGTACTCACATAAAGGCAATAAAAAAGTTACCATGTTTCGAAAATCCTATGTAACATTCTTCAATAACCTTTTCATTTAAAACTTCGTTATAACAAGAATATGAAGGTAAGTTAATCTATCAACTTGTTAAATGTTATAGCAACTTTGAATATTCAATTAAATATTTCATTTACTAAAAAAATTTGGGGTATCTTGGTTTGAATTTAGGGGGTTTTAAAATAGGCTTAGGGGAGAAGATTTTGAGTAGTTGGCATCCCTGATATAAGCTAGAATTTTTAAGGGATGAAAATATTTTGTGCTGTGAGAAGCGTACGTTTATTAATTTTGTCACACAATTTCACTACTAATCTCTGTTAACGTTTCAGGTTATACTGAAGTCTATAGTGGTCAAATCATTTTCTAAAAGTTCAGCAATGGTAAAATATCTTGATCAACAAGAAGCCATAAATATCGACAATGAACTTTTCAATGAATATCAGTTCACTGTAGACCAACTGATGGAACTGGCAGGTCTCAGCTGTGCCACTGCCATAGCCAAAACTTATTCGAATTTGGAGAACAAATCGATTCTTGTATGTTGTGGTCCAGGAAATAATGGTGGCGATGGTCTAGTTTGCGCCAGACATTTAAAACTGTTCGATTTCAATCCGATCATATGTTGTCCTCAACCAAATGAAAAGGAGCTGTTCAACAGACTCACAAATCAATGCTTCCTCATGGACATTCCTATTATTGATTGTACGCCGGAAGCAGCTGGGATCGAAGAGGAATTTTCCTTTATAGTAGATGCTATTTTCGGATTCAGTTTCAAGCCTCCTATCAGGAGAACATTCGTCCCGATTATTGACTACATGAAAAGGACCAAACTGCCGATAATAAGGTATTTGAATCAGCTCTCTTATTTTGGTAGATATTTAGACTTACGTATTTGCATCCACTGATCACAAATATAAAATCAAAACTGGGCCCTGTGGTCTACTTTCGAAGAACTAGTCAAAAGTCAAAACTATTTGAAAAAATTGACCATTTTGGGAATTCATTTATTTTTGGAACATATTTATGGAGTTATTTCAAATATTTCCACAAAAATTATTTCTGTTTCACCAAAATAACTATTATTGGAATCAAGTTAATGAATTTGTCGCTTCACTAGAGTGTTAATTAGTTGATAAGTAGACATGCGTTTCGCAAACCAACTTGGCATCATTAGGAGATGAATAAAACTGTTTTGAAGTACCACGCGTCTCTAAAAACGAATGTTTATCCTTATTTCAGGATAACTTTCGTTATTGGTGAGTAAAAACTGATAGTAAATAAAATAGAAATGTTTAACCTTTCAGTATTGACATACCAAGCGGATGGGATGTGAACGAAGGAAAGCCAGATGGAGGTATTGAACCTGAAATGTTGATTTCTCTTACTGCTCCCAAAAAGTGTGCCGAATCTTTCACTGGAAAATACCACTTTTTGGGAGGTAGATTCGTACCGAAAAGGTTACAGGACAAATACAATCTCCAATTACCGAAATATGTTGGAACTGAACTTTGTGTTGCACTTCATTAAACTGAGTACAAACTTATTATTGTTTTATAATGTTTGCCATATCTTATTTGAGCCCGAGGTTCAACACCCAATCTTTTTTTGTTGAAATGTTTTAAAATGACCCATTGGTCCCTCTCAAGGCCAATGAACAGCCAAAAGGGTAGGGGAGCTGGTCTCCAAACCTGAATGAAATTAGGATGACTCGTCAGCAAATGTTTTAAAATAATTAAAAGTGAAGCGCATACATTGTGTCTACAAAACGAAATAGATTGCCTATCTAACTGGTGTTCAAAAAATGGCATCTAAATGCCAAATTCTTCGCTTTCACCGAACACATCACCAAATCACTTTCGAATATAGTATAAATAATCGGACCTTACATTCTAGCTATTGCTAGGAAGTAAAAATAAACTGTGGAGTTCCACAAGGCTCAGTCCTAGGTCCACTATTATTTTTTTTGTATATAAATGACATCTATTGATATTAAAGGAGAGTTCACACTATTCGCTGACGGCACTACAATTTTATGGCATGATCAAAATCTCTCCGAACGTGAAACAGTAATAAATCATTATACAATATAAAAAGATGGTGTGACGCAAATCTTCTCAGTTTTAATATCTCTAAAACGAACGTATTCTGCTTCAAATGTTCCATTAGCAATTTACAAATTGACATCTTTGTTGAGAATGAACCATCAACCAAATTTCTGGGACTATCCATTGACAGTGATTTGACCACCATCACTGCTATTAAATCTCTTTATTTTTCCCTGGTTAGATCTCATCTCGATTATTGTTTCACAGTTCGGTCCCCTCATTACGTCCCCTCTAAGCAGTACAGCACAATTTCATGAGATATATTGCCTTCAAGATGCGTGTATAGTATGACTATACTGCATTGGAATGCATTTTGAACATACCTTCTCTTGAGGCTCGCAGAAAACATAGATTCAATACTTCAATTCAAAATTATGAACGGACTGAGTATCAGCCTCGAGCTTCTCTCCAAAATATCTTTACATGTCCCCAGTCGTTCAACTAGACAGGTGCAAACGTTTCACGTTTCTTTTCACATATTCGATTATTCATATAACAGCTTTATTCCCAGAACTCTACGCTTGGCTAACTATTTAAATAACCTTAAAATCTTTAACATATCAGTTTCCCGCTTTTGAAACCATATTTCTCACCTAGCCATCTAATACTCTCTGCTTGTGTTGCTGTATTGTGTCTGGTGTTACTTGCCTGTAAGAATTATATTTTACGTTTCCAAAAGATATTGATAGGTGAGTCAAACTCTTTCATAAATATTATTTGAATGTATCTTTAGGAGGTAGGAATGTCTCGAAATCAATGCTGGAAATCCATTTTCTGTATTTTCTCTTCCCTGGAAAAAGCTTGGAATTGTTATATTATCTGTCTAGGGCAAATTGGAATATTTGTGTACATACATACGTAATTTCGAGCTGAATTTGATCATATTTGGAATTTAGACGACTCCAAATACAAGTTCAAGAACAAATTCAAACAATATTCGATAGAGAAAACATTTTATTGCGTTTCTGATTTTTATGATTGACTTTTTTTTCAATTTCTACCGTGTTCCACACTGAAGTATTATGGAACAAAGCTGCTATTATTGATAGAAGTGGTGCAGAATTTTGTAACAATTGGATGGTGATATTCAACAAATGTTTGGAGTTTAAGAAATTGGGCTCTATTCGAATGTTTCTTCTTTAACACCAAAGGTTCCAGTCACATCTACGGCTCTTAATGTATGAATAGAGGAAACATTCTGCGTGGGTTGCAACAAACCAAACGAGATGATGTTTTCCGTAAAGTGATCCTCACATTTTGTGCCAGTCAAATCTAATTCTGAAACCCTATCACTTCTAATATTATTTGAAAGAATTACAAATAGTATCGTATCAATATATTATTCATTATGGTGAATTATTCATTACGATAAATAAAATAGCAACAATCAAATGACGAACCTTATTTTATTAGATGAAGTCTTTCAAAAAAAAAGTTTAATTTCATGAATTATGACAAGATAAAATTTCCAGTACGCCTGTTATAGACACCATGTCGCAAGTCTGACCCTGAGTCACAGAACACCTGTAGTTAGGGTGTTCTGTGCCTGAGTAATCCGCTTTTCAAAATGGCCTCTTCATACTTTTTGAGATCAAAGGCGGCATCGTGGAGTGTCCGTGCTGATTGTTAGGTATGCTGTGACGAATATAAAAAAATCGCCAAACGAATATAAGCAGCCCGCGAAATTAAAAAATTCGCCTTATTTTTCAACAGACCCCGTACTTCTAATAGAGTAGCCGCTTCAATAAAAACCACATCGACTCCTTCCAAAACATTTATTACAGTACTTAATTTTACCACATGATCATGCCCCATATTTTGCTCACAATTCTCGCAGCAAGCACATACACCGGCATGAAAATTAGACCCATTATTAAAAAAATTAGAAAGAGTATCACTAAAATTTCACCTAAAAATACGGCCGCCCTGATGATTTTCTCTTTCTGTCCTTGGGTCTCGAAAATTTGTATGAGCCGATCCAGAAAGAATCGAGCGAAATAGACGAAACCGTCCAGCAGGGGGGCCAAATTCCACAGCATTACCAGAATGGTGATGGCGGCCGTATAGGCGTGGGTGCATAGAGAGGTGAGGAGGGCGAGGAAGGTTATGTCTCTGAAAATAGATCATCATTAAAGAGTTGAAAAATGAAGGTCGCTTCATTCAGCCACAGGCATCTCAATTTCATAAGATTATTTCCTTCAAACCGATAAAATGATGAAAAAATTGAAGGTTAGGCTACCGAAAGAAAGTTTTACAGCGATAAAACTAATAAATGGTTCTTTGGAAAAGAATCTTGTTTTCCCGTCGGACAGTACATGCTCTGGGACTGCATTAAAACTGCTGACTGACAGATGACAGTTCACAGACACTACACAGAACACAGGATTAAACAATGCAGAGTTGTGATGACAGCATGCAATTTTGACACAAGTATTGCATTGTTGCCACACATATTTTTGTTATTTTTTATTGTACTCAATGGGACTCAACGTGAAAATGTAAAAAAATTAGATTATAGTAAATAGTACCAAATAATCCACATATTGATCCGGGTAGTACTTTCGTATCAAAATCATGGAATAGTACCGAATGCGGTACAATAGTACCTTAACGGCAGCACTGGACTGCAGACTTCTCGGTCTGTCCCAGTCTGCAGCTCCGCTTGTGCTCGATTAGGCGAGTACCAATGCTTCTTTTCGTCTGACAGATATAAACTTTACCACAGGATTCCATGTAACTGTGTAGCGATCGGAAAACGACGATAAAAAAAAGAAGAAGATATTTTCTGATTGATTCAGCCGTTACTTGATGAAGATCCACAGTAATTTCATAAACTACACCTCACGATTTGATTTGCACAAAGTTTGTGGCGATTGAGACTTTCTTTTTTTATTCAAGAAGTTATGAACATAAATTACATTTGAATGGAAATATAATTGAGTATTTTCCTTAACAGTTCTGTAACGACGAGGGCAGGTAAGTGTTATTAAATAAATTGATACTTAAAATAGATACGTAAGTAAAATAATAATTATAATGTAATGGTTAGTGAGAAATGAATATTATTAATAATTATGTATTATGTCAATCATTAACAAACTTTATATGGCGTGTTTTTGACCGGGACTACAGGTTGACCTTGAATAATGCTCTAGCCGCGCGCTCTCTGCCCTCTATCTCGAAAACGATTGAACGTATACATTTTCAAAAACGAAAGCTGTCGGGAATTTAATACTCTACAGAATCGATAATGCATACAAATAGCGAAAACCGTAAGGAAACGAGATATTTACAAAAAAATGTGCAAAAAATTTATTTTTGTGACCGTTGATTTTATTTAATAGTCGGGTACATCCGACCTCATGTGGGTTTTGATACAACTTTAAGGATGTCAAAAGTTAAAATACAAGTTCTCAGGAGTTCCTAGCTGGATAGTTAACAGTATACTAGTTACAGTATTGCGTAAAGCAGTACTGTTAGCGAAGGAGCAAGTGGTCCTCAGACAAAGTTCTCATTTGAAAGAGGACTAGTGACAGCAGCAATAAAATAACTAAATGCTGAGGATAGATTCTTTGCAAATTGCCACCCTGTATTTTCAAGGTACCACCTCTATTGGGAGCTAGTTGCCCGTTGCGTTTTACAGTTTCAAAAATAAAGACGATTGAAGGGGTTGGCCCTTCGAAATTTTCGTAATATTCCAAATTTCTGTTCGCCCTATCTCTGCGTTAATATCGATTGATACGAAATACTCACTCATTCCTCGACACTCCTCTGGTCTCCTGATAAGAGATTATTGGTTCCCTGACGGACCGTAACGAACGCAAAACACTAGATTGGGACACGTGCATTTTTCTCACTGCTTCTGGCACGGTTGCGGAAAGCTGGATCGGGGAAGAAACCATCGGAACATCTTTCTGGATGTAGCTCGATCTTAGGAAACTAGTGGTGGGGGCGTGCGGGTAAGAACCAAACGTATCCTTAAAACTTTTAACTGCACAAGTTCGATTTGTACTCTTAGAGATAAGAAAAATGGAAATGTGCCCATCTAATATACTTTCAGATAATGTAATATACAAACAAGGTGTGTGTGCTTTGACAACATTGGCAATCCTTGGAAAGGGATGTCACTATATATATATTTACAGTAGAATTCGAATATAACGACCTTCAAGGGACCGGATATACTATGTCGTACTAACCAGACGACGCACAAAACGGTAAGATTATTTGAATCCACCACGGCTGTGCAACCGGGCCAAATCATCACAGCAGAGCCCTTTTGTGCGGAAACAGAAGAGGTCCGACCTAGTTCCACGACAGCGCTCATCCGCATGTTTCACAAATTACCGTCCGAAAATCAAACGAATTGACCGTCGAAGATCTGCTTCCAGTGACGGCTCGTGCATTGGAGAACAGGGGAGGCTAAAGTCATAAAGACTATATACACACGGAACAGCCCGCCGGAGGCGCGAAACTTTTTTGGAATACCGCACCTATTTGTCGCTGGTTGGATCGGCCTCGCGAAGCTTGTGTTTTTTAAAACGGTCGGAGGCTTGGCTCCCTTGCAACGTGTGGCATTTATTATTTCGGGTTGATGGTTTATTCGTTATTCGTTCATGGGCGGTGCGTTTGAAGTTTGTTGATGCAGGATACAGCGTGGTACGTACTACGTAGTTAGTGATAGTGTTTTTTCGGGCATATTATGTATTTAAATCAAAATTAGTGGTAAAGTAATGATACCCAAGCATTTAAAAAATAGTAATGATAATTATTTGTCAATATCTTTGAATTTATTGCGATGAATAGCCTCAAATTTTATGGGGAGGCTAAGCCTCTCTTGCCTCCTCTGACGAGCCACCGCTGTCTGCTTCACCCATTATACTTCCCAGACCTCTTGCCAACAGACTACCATCTTTTTATGTACTTCGATAACTTTCCCACCGGTAGTACCTTCGCCGACTTTATCGAATTCAGACACACAATTTTTATACTGTCAGAATTAATCAATTTGTTACGTTGGCAAAAGTGTACTGATTCAAATGGCGCTTATTTCGATCAAGTTCGATCCAACTTTTTTGAAACGTTCTTAATTACTTGCGTAACAATATAGATGTGATCACCTTAATCACTAACTAATGAATTAACAATCTCTTCAAGCGAGATTATTGGTGGGACGAATAAATGAAAACATGATTTAAGATTTGCTTTCACTACTTTTACCATAGATTACGTAATTCATTTTTCTGTAGAAAGCTCATTAGATGGGCACATTTAATAAATAAATAGTACTCACCACTGGCAGTCATCTTAATAAAACATGGTACTAGAATTAATTCCAAACAAAAAGATGGTTTTCATGATGAGTTGAAAAAAGTTTGACACATATAATTTTGAAGTTTACTGCGACAAATGAAGATTTCGGCATTCTCAAACTGACGTCAGTTCCATACAGGGTGAGTGAATTATAACTAGCGCCGTTTCTTATTTCTTCATTTCAGAAATAAGATATCAATTTTATAACCTCGATATTGGACAAAGCGGAAGGCTAAATATACAGGGGAGGTAGAGTTACAATCATTTTTTAAGGATTGTATACCAACGATGTGGAAGTTGGAACTATTGGTTTGATAATAAAATAAATAATGTCGCAATCAACTTTTAATCACAATTTTTCCATCATTCAAAAAACGAATTGACATGGTCCATTTCAGATTCTATGGCTGAAAGATTATTCAATTTACATTTGGTCTAAAATTTCCACTCTGGGAGACAAAAAAAAGTATTTTTTCATTCGTGTAATTCAATGTGAAGTTAGTTGTTTCCAGGGGGCTTTTTATTCCAGTTTGTGTCTGAAAGTTGGGTACTTCTTATTTGCATGATCCTACACATCTTTGTGAAGACTTGTGTTGCACTGTTTAGAACCTTTGGTGTAGTAATGATCACTTGGTGATCGAAACACGTATCGGGGTGATGTTGAAATAAAGGTTTGGTGTTGGGAAATAAACTTCAGTAATACTCATTTGTGAAGAGTTTATTTTGAAATCGATTGCTTACTACATTTTTCTGTAAAATTTTCACAATATTCTGTATGAAGATAGCGAAGTTATCAGTCATGTACCCATTGGTCCCTCTCAAGGCCAATGATCAGCCAAAAGGGTAGGGGAGCTGGTCTCTAAACCTGAACGAACTTAAGATGAATTTCGTCCATGGTACTCTACTCTCAAGTTTGTGAGTTATTGTGCTAAAAGTAACACTACTTCTTTTATTTTCAAAACAATGGATCAAAAACGATTTCGTATTTCAATTTTACACTGTTTCTTGATGGGAAAAAATACGGTTCAAGCGAAGCAATAGCTGGCCGAAACTGGTTTTTACGACCAAAACCGAATTTCGGCAACGGTATCACTTTCAGCCGAAACTTCCTTCCACGAATTGTTTCGAGGAAAAATAAAGAAAACGTTATTATAATCAGTCAGTCTTTATTTTTTATCTTTGAATCACAACGTTATGCAGTCTTCGACATTTTCTCTCATTGATAATCAACATAACAACCCCTTATTTAAAAAAAAATATTAATTGCACCTTAAAAATACTTAAAATAGGTAAGGTGTTTCTTGAGTAGGTGTGGATTCTTCTTTTGAACATTGTTAATGGTTTTTAAAAAATATTGAACATAAAATTACCTACTATCACAATAGGTACTTAATATTTAAGTAATAAACAAATTAAATCACAAAATAAGTCACGACATGATTAGGCACATGGATGTGGCAAAATGTCTTCGTCGCTTGTATGAAATTCAACGCGCCGAACATAACCGATCATAGCCCGTGAATTCCCGAATGCAGTTTCGGCTTCGGTCGTAGTTTCAGCAGGTTTGCCGCTGAAACCGAAACCCGTTTTTTTGCCGAAACTCGACCGAAACTGAACTTTCAGTCGGACACTAAGGATAACAAAAGAACGTTTTGGTTTTATATTGCATGAGCATTTGACTATGAGAAAGCTCTGTTCAAGTTCAAAGTGGATGCCCCGCGAGCTCACTGTTGACCAAAAACAAGAAGATCTTGATGATTCTGAGCAGTGTTTGGCCATAGTAAAAATCAACCAGTAAGTTCACTCCTACTACTTTCATTCATAAATTCACTAAGTTCTCGTTGATCTCGAAACGAAGCCAATTTTGTTCTTTTACCATAAGCTTGCGCTCATATAAAAACGAAATTTAAGGTTATTATTGAAACAACAGCGAATAAACTAAACACAATATCAATTTCCGACCGTTTATTATAACTAATCCGGTGTCAAATCCTTCGATACTACAGCACTAAACGCGTTGGATGAGAATCTCATCCTAAGAGCGGTTGAAGGTCCCCGGCAACTCGGATGGATCACGTGGTAGTATTATTCTACTGTGCTTTGGCTATGTTTGAATATAACAAACCGGAATTTTTCCGTCGATATGCGACAATGGATAAAACATGGATCCATCACTTCACTACGGAATCAAAACGTCTTGAGAAGGGAAATACCATCAACAAAGAATATTATATAACGCCATTGGAGCGTTTGAAGGCCAACATTGCATAGAAACGACTGCATATGGCAAAGACAAAAGCGTCCTTTCATCAAGACGGCGCACCGTGTCACAAGTCAATCAAAACAATGGCAAAACTACATGAACTGAACTTCGAGTTGCTCCAGCATCCGCCGTATTCGCCAGATTTGGCTCCCAGCGACTACTGGCTGTTCGTAGACCTCAAAAAAATGCTCACCGGTAAGAAATTTCGCTCGAATAGAGGTTATTGCTAAAACTGAGGCCTATTTTGACGAAAAGAAAACGCGTGTTCTTTCTTAGGTCCGGGACTTTTTAACTCATGCGTTATGAGGATCAACTCTTGTTAATGTGTATTCTCAGAGAGAAAAGATTCATACTGCAACTTGAGACAACATTTATTTTGCAATCAGTTCAATAAAAATATTAATAAAAACATTTATTGTATTAAAATTCGATAAAAACTCAAAAATCGTGTTAAATAGAATCACGTTGATATAATAATTCCACTAAAATTTCGGATTCTTATTTCCTGAGATCAACTTTGAGTTTTCTCTAGTAGAAACATATATTCCATCATTGACAACTCAAAATCACAGCAGAAATGTCTAGGCAACTGAATTTCTCATCCAGCACCACAGATCGTCGTTTCAGACTCACCTGAAAATAATAAAAAAGAAAACTTTGAAATTGAAATGAATTGCAGATAAATTAAATAATTATATAGAGACAAATAAAAGATATTGCAAACTGAACTAATCAGAAATACATGTAACATAAACATATTGTTGTAAAGTATCCTCTGAAAAAATAACGGCGGCCGCCGCTGCTCTTCGTCAATCGACTATGACCTGGCCAAGGTCGCGCTAATCTCTGCCTGCGTTTCTCGATTGTTCTATTTGTCGTGGAGCTTTGACAATATTCCTTTCGGCTTTCGAAGACTTCCATTGGGATATATAAGCTCTTCCAACAGGTAGAGTGGGCGAATCCAGTTTGAAGTGCGGTACCAAGTGAGAACACATTTGAGAATTAGTCTAAAGTTAAGTCAAGAGTTTTTGCATTGTATTGGCAGTGTAGTAGTGGGATAAAGTTGAGTTTAACTGTACAGTGTGGTCAATGATTGTCGAACCGACGGGGAAACGTATTATTATCAATATATCCCGTGAGTGCACAGAGCCACAAAATGAACAGAAAAGAAGGAGGACAACAGAACGTGGTTTATATTCAAATGTTACAGTTGACGTATCAAAACGGTCAGGAGACGTTAAGTGTCACTTTTGATGTGTTGAACTATCACTCGAATGTTTCTCAAAATGTAACACACTGAGCAAAAACATAACTTGGTAACTTTGAACGTCGAAAAGTAACATTTTGTAATAAACAACTGCGAACGACATCTCACCAGTAGCATAGCTGTCAACAACGTGGACCAATGAGTACAACCTAGTAACAGTGCTGACCAATAAGAAGTGAACATTTGCACAGATGCCCCGCCTCCATCCCCACTATCACCCTCTCAAATTATAAATACAAATAAACACGTAGCTCCTCAGTCAGTCGTTACACAAGTAATCCAGAAGCAAATTCCATAACGTTGATGTGAAGTAAAGAGATCTAGTGGAGCAGTAATTGATTCTTTTACAACAACTTTCTTCAGCGCTAATTTGGTCAGATGAATTTTTTGTTATCAAAGTTAGGCATTATAGTATATCATGGATAACTTATTACATTTTAATAACTCAATTCATTAATAATGTTTTGATACACTTTATGTAGCTGTCAGGTTGAACAGAAGAAAAACTCAACTTCGGTGATTTATCTCACTTGTAGATTGAACTTCGCGTTTTATTTTGATGAAATGTCTATTGTTATCGACGATATTTGGTGTGCAATGCTAGAATTTGTATTACATTGCATTTAATTGAGTTTGGATACTTACCACAGGTTTTTTGGAGTCAAAATCGGTTTTCAAAAAAACAACGCCGTTTTCTTTTACTTTAATCCCATAATAGTTACAATCACTAACTATTTCGTCTTCGTTATTGTACAGCAAAATCTTTTGCAAAACAGCAACAGGAAAAAACAAATTTTTCGAACTGTAGGCATTCGACATTATCTTGAAACAGTCCCTGAAAAAGAATGAACTGTTTGATAATAATCACTTCCAAATTGTCATAACAACTTGGTCATACCTCCTGAGACTTGGCAGATGCAAATAGGCAAGTGCAGCCAACAGTGGTGGTAGTAACTCGATCAATCTGCAGAGCCTCACGAAATTATTATTCGACCGAGCCAGAGACATTTCCACAGTTCGTTTCACCAAAACATTCCTTGAAACAAATACAAGGGATTATAATCTCTGTTGAAACATAAAAACGTGTGAAGAATTTTATAATAATGGTATCAATAAGATTATGGATCTTTTAGTTGACTAACACGAAACAGGTACATCTTCCACTCACTTCCACTTGTTGGGTAAATTTACTGCCCGGGTGATGGCTGTGGTATTCCCCAAATTGAATACAACATACATAGCTTCAAAGTATGATCTGCTTTCATCCGAATATCCATTCTTGTCTCCGTCTGTAGATTTTTCCATTTCGTCGCAATAATCATACATACACAACAATCTCTTCAAACACTCTTGAAGATGACTGTCGTTTATGTGTGGATCGAAGTCGTGTATGCTTTCTTCACACAACCTTGAACCATTTCGCTGTTAGTTGAATCCTTCAACAGGTGCCAAAACAAATCTGATACTCACTTGTATGAGGCGAACGCAAGGAATTTTACTATCGGCTGCAGTATGTTTATTTGGTGTTGTCTCGAAATGTTTTGAATAATCATATCCTGCCTGACGGATCTGAGTCTATCCATAACGAAGTCGTAAATAACCCTCCATTGAACTCCTGTTCTGCTTATTACGCTGAAAAGAGCAGTATTTGATATGAAACACGTTCTTCTTGCATATCAGATGATAATGAACAACTTGTTCGATTGATGACCTATTTATTTTGTAGAAAGAAAATGAGTTTTAGTTTTTTATCTGTTACTACTTTGAAAAGTTTTTTATCGGTGAACTAATACTAATTTTCAATGTTTAATGACATTACTCATCCAGAAGATAGCTGACTGTCTTAACAAGGATGTCGGGAGGCCTCAAACTCCTTGGATCTGGCATCAATTTTCCAGCTGCTGAACGTGAAAAAGATTTGACAGTCCGTGTCTTGTCAGCTTTTGGTAATATATCTCTTTCTGTACCAACGAGCATTTCAAAAGGATGAAGAAGTCGTTCACGTTCTCTCCTGAAACAAATAGCTTTTGGATCTCTAGCCCTTATTTGTTAACAAACTGTACATCTTGATTTCTGCCTCCGGGCACATTTCCATACAAGTTCCCATCACATAGTTATTTTCGAGTTCAACTTTCTTGAAATTCTTGTAATATATTTTATTCATGCTTTCCAGTTGAAGAAATGAACTGGTTATTTCTCCAGGAGAAACTTATTATATTTTCAAGTGAGGTTAACCCTTAACCAAAATCAGATATAAACATTGAAATATGTTCGTATACCCTACACCGACTGGCTTTGAGTTTGTTCTGCTTCTCAGTTTTTACCGTTTAGAACCCTCGGAAATCAGTGAGTCAGTCATGGATTGAAAACGTTTACGCGACATAATGTACAGTATTCAGTTGGGTGACTGTTAGAGACAGTTCGGTCAGAAAACCGGAACAGACAGTGGAAGCCGACAATTATACACGTCAAAAGGATAACCTACTTCTTGTTTCTTATCTCGGTGATAAATCGTTACGTCACCAGCGATACTTATTGAAGAAACTAGCTCAAAATCTACAGGTTTAGGTATAGTAACTCTGGTCTATTCATTCTAAAAACTTTGATTTATTAATTTTTTTGGAGGACTTACATATTCAAAATATTTAGTTTCTCTACAACGACAGTAGATCGGGTTATCATAACGCAATATGCAGCATTTTTGTTGTGGAGACGGAAAAGTGTTTTCGAAAGTTTTGCCCAGCAATGCATTCGTGGTTTTGCCTAACACCACTAATGAGGTATGTATATATTTATATGATTGATCGAAATGACGCTATCTGGTGTTGAATTACCAAAGCTTCAGTTCCAGGGAAAAATGAGTATAAAAATAATTATTTTTACATCATTTATGAATAAGATCTCAGTATATCATGAGAACGTTGAGGAATTCAACAATATTTCAAAAAATAAATGAAAATGAAATGCACAGGATCTACTGACAACAGTTAGTGAGGTCACGAGTCGCATATGTGCGTGCAGTTCAAAATTGATTAATAAAAATAGAGCTGTCCCTTCTACGTCTATAACTGTTGGTCAAAGAACTCCCATCTTTTTCTAGTATGACATCCTCAATGTTGTCTCGCTCTTTCTAAGGACCGGTCCATCGGACCAATCAGACATCATACCCCCAGTTGCCAGTTAATCATTTCAATCAGTTGTGAGTAGTTGTCCTTGTAAATCGGTTAATATTTTGTTCAAATCCGTTAAGAAAAAAAAACAAGAAGGTTGGAAATCTGAAGCATGATCTGGTTTTCTCTTGAAATTTAAATAATCCTACAAACAAAACCAGCTGACAAAAAGTTGTTCATGTTTAGTATAAATTGACAATTTTCGCCTTGGAAGAAACTATTCAAACTCATCTTTTTGAAATTTTTTGTGTGTGTTTTTTTTGTAGCTATTTTATACTTTTTGTCAAGTTTCAATCGAGACTGAAAGAGAGTAACGAGATCTAGTTATTTATATGGTAAGTGCAAAGTATGTCGGTGAGCCCCAAAGCTATACCTTTTAGGGTATGGTAATGAATCATTCCTAATTAAACGTCGCGTTATTCTCAAGTAAGTACTTATTTTTATTATCCTAGACATAATGGAAGACGAAGAATTCAAGAAACTGCCCATCGATGAGAGATGCGTTCACAAGCTGTGGAAAGCCAGAGTTAACGGCTACGAAGAAGTTACAAAACTATTTCGACAAATTGACGACGAGAAGTCTCCGGAATTCGGAAAGTATTTGGGATTGGTGAGGAAGTTTGTAATTGATAGCAATGCGATGGGCCAAGAAAAGGGTCTGGAGGCTACCTTGGCCTACGTGGAGAACTACGCAAACGCTGGCAAAACCGTGTCGGAAGTAATGTCGGGCATAGTAGCCAAGTGTGTAGCGGCTCCGAGGACCAAAACTAAAGAACTAGCCCTACAAGTTATTCTGATGTACATTGAAATAGAGAAATACGAAGCGGTCCAAGAGGAGCTGATGAAAGGGATGGATTTGAAGAACCCCAAAATCGTAACGGCGTGCGTTAATGCTTGTACCGTAGCTCTAAGGGAGTTTGGGTCTAAAATAATCAGTGTGAAACCTCTGCTGAAAAAGATCAGTGTACTGCTGGCCGATAGAGATAAGGCTGTGCGAGATGAAACTAAACAGCTGATTGTGGAGATGTATCGGTGGGTTGGAGCTGCTCTGAGGTATGATTGAACATAAATTCAGCTAATAATTCGTTGAGATATTTTTGTCCTAGACAGTTGGAAATATTTAATTCAGTTCTCAGATGAGATCAGTTATTTTCTATTATATGCCTCAATTCTTTGAAATCAAAATCAAAAGTAATAAATACTTAGTATAAATACAGAACACTAACAGGGTGTTCAAAAAAATCTTGTGATTTTATTTTGATTGGCCACACCTGGTGTAGGCAGGTTTATAATACTTACCAGATACTTTTACTACTTTTTACCTGTATTGGCTTTTCTTTATGGAAAAGATTACGGAGATTATTGAACTTTCTTTTGGTAGACTGTACTTAAACGTGATTCTACTTGTAACTTTTTTGATGAACAATTTAATCTTTACAACATACTGTTGCTTAATTTATGTGAGGTTATTATAGATGTTTTTACATAAAACTGGTTGATTTTTATTGTTCCACAAAGTGTGGTATTGTCAGAAAATAAATAATGAAACTATCATAAATTTAATTGGAGGTTCTTACAGTTTGTGGTTTCAGGCCTCAGCTGCAAGCCGCCAGCTTGCAACCGTTACAGATAACCGAATTAGAAGCGGAATTTAGTAAAATAGAGGGACAGAAGGCTTCGCCTACAAGATACATCAGGTCTCAGCATATTCAATGATAGAAGATTCAAGTCAAACCAATTCTTCACTTTTTTCATGTCTTGGCACATTCCGAAGCAATATGCTGTGATTGACACAGTCAAAAGCTTTGGATAAGTCACAAAGCACTGCTGCAGTGGCTTCCCCACTGTTGATTTCATTATACACCAATTGCAATACTTTTGATATAGCTTCACTTGTACTTCTAAACTTCTGAAACTTCTGTGGTGTATAGAAACTTGTTCAAAATAAGATTCAAATTCAGCTGTGGGCGTATCTAATCTATCAAAATTTCTTTTCGCTTATAGTTCTGATGGAAAAAAACAAGCTTAACTTATAGGTACGGATTTTTATTTTTTTTTATGTATTTAAACACCATTTAGGTTTCAAAATGAAAGAGTTGAATGACAGAAAATGACTACAGTTTTATGCTGTCGTAGATACAGTTTTTTTCAAAAGGGTTGTTTTTGTGGAGTAGACAGTGCCCAGCATAAATAGTAAAGAGAAAGGAGAAGACACTTATGTTTTAAAAATAGTGGAAAGCTGGAGTCCAAATATCTTGCACCACTAAGTTAAGTTACTGTACTTTTTTGTACTACAAAAAGACTAGATTAACACAGCACTAACCCCAAAAATGAAGTCTCTATCTTAGCACCAATTGCAGTAGCGCAAAATAGACATTTTTGACTGGCCCTAGTCTCAATTCTTGTGCCACAAATTTTAAAACAAAGCAACCACCTGTAATATTTTTGAGACATGGAGTCACCGAAGTTTTTTTTATCTTCAAGTCTAGTTGAGTCAAGAATTTCAACTGTGTCATTTTTAATTATAACCCTCTCTTCCATTTCACATTCAATGGGTAATATATACGTTTTCTTTATATTGGCTTCACTATTCAGCCAGAATTGCTGGATCTTTTGAAATGATTTGGGATATTTGCTTTGACTCTTCATAACACCTTGATGAAGTTGCATCAGATACAAAAAGGGTAGACGTGTGCCTCTAATTGATGATTCAGTCAGCTATTCAAAGGAAGAATGAGACTGGTCCCAAAGCAGGACCTTGAGGCACTCCAATCGTCGTGACATCCTTTTCGAATGACGAATTGCCCAGAGTTATTATCTCAACTGAACTTCAACATACCCCGTTTGAAACAGCAGGAGATCACTCTGTTTTTATTTACCTACTCCAAGAAATACAATCGGATATGCGAAAAAACTGATCTATTTTCAACACACATTGGAGTTTTCGAAAGGGAAATGGAAGATATTCTTTCCACTTTGTGATGTTTATGAAAATTTATTCCTCTCTATTCATACATGTTATTCTGTTTTCTTTCCAATGATTGTTTTTTTTTTTTGTTATTATGATTGAACACTTTATACCAATTATTGAATTATTTAATTTAGTTCTTATTCACAGTAGTTACATGTATACTTTGTAAAAAGCTGTCCTGTAAATGGGTCTTGTGCCTGATTGGGCAGTTCGTTTCGTCTTTGGCATCATCAGGAATGATTGTATAATATGAAAGCAATATTGGGAAATGTTTCACGTAAGAATTTACAAAACCTCAAACGAGAAATATGGCTTATGATTGAAAAATATATCAACACAGTCAGATAAAAATATAGCCAGAGTTATTGAAGATATTTTAGACTATTCCAATTTTAGATTATTCGAACATCATTGCAAACTTGCAAACAAATAAATTCTCCAATAATAGGAGATTTTTTATCAAGTTTTTAGAGCCACTATAGTCTAGAACATTTTTTGTATTAGATACCGGTTTGATTTTTTTTTGGTAAATTCAACTTCGAATTAGTTCTAGAACTTGTGGTACACTAAAAGCTGGAAAGAAAATATGAAAAAAATTCATGAGTCTAAAATTTATAGCATTTTTGCGAAAATTATGATAAAAAAAGTATGTTGGGCAAACTGAACGATACATAAAAACACGTTCAAAGGATGGCATAGAACATAATCAGATCTAGTGTGTGTGCTCTAAAAGACAGCCATGGGATCAAGGAAATTCAATGAAAATCATTGAGAGTATATAACATTAGACTTGTTGATGCTTTTGGGGACCTACAAGTATGTAAACGTGGCTTTAAAATTATGAACAACAATCATCTCCTGATGGTGCAAACTTGGCTGACAGTAAGGTGAGTTGAGAGAAAAGTGTAATTATCCTTGTAATATTGCAGACAAACTTCGAAGCGATCCTGGAAGACGTGACCGAAGCACTGAACAACAAAAATCCCTCCGTGAAAACTGAAACTTGTTCCTTCTTGGCAAGAGCTTTTTGTAGGACATTACCCACAGCATTGAATAAAAAATTACTGAAAGCTATCTGTACTCCTCTTATCAAAACCATCAACGAGTCAGGTCAGTTGTTAATTTTTTTTGGTTTAATTCGCATATGATTTTTCTGGGCTTCTTCAAATCATTTTATTTAATGATATTCCAGATCCGGCTGTCAGAGAATCGGCTGCAGAAGCTTTGGGAACCCTCATGAAACTGGTCGGAGAAAAGGCCATAGCACCCTTCTTGGTCGAATTAGAAAAAGATAATTTGAAAATGGCCAAGATCAAGGAGAACTGTGATAAGGCTGTGATCCTCGTTAAAGTTTCTGGGGTGAAGAAAGAGAGGGCTGCCACTGCCCCTGCAAAAATTGAGGCTCCCAAAGGCCCAAACAAAGCCCCGGCTAAAAAACCAGTTGGTGAGATACCTTTTTTCCTGCGAGTTGAGTAATTGGAAAGAAAGGAAATGTATTATTATATACTTTTGTATCTACACATGTATGTGTGTGTGTTTGTTTTATGATGTGTGTATGGCGTGTTTGTGTGACGCACGTGTGGGGCATGGTATGTGGTGAATGTGGGTGTGTGTGTGTATTTGTGTGTGTTTGAAACAAATTTGAGAATACTTTCTATTGAAAAATATTTCTATTTGATATCGATTAATTATTTTCTGTTGACTCTTATCAAATTTTTTCACAGCTACTAAGAAAAAAACGGAGATATCTTCCGGTTCGGCCACCGTCGTCAGATCCAAAGGTCCAAAAGGTTTGGCGAAATCTGCTTCTCAAAACATAGAAAAGGAACTGACGGATGAGGAGGTTGACGAAATTGTAGCAGGAATGTTGAGTGCAGAAATAGTTGGTGATATTTCTAATTCGAATTGGAAGACTAGGTGAGTTCAGAAACATTTGATTGATGCAAGAACCTCAATATTTTGAGTTTTTTTGTATATCTGATACAATTATTGTAAGAAGAGGTGTATTTGTATCATCAGACATTAGTCTTTTGCATATATACTTAGAAATATATTTTTCAAAGTTTAAACTCAACTTATGATAGCCTCACTTGGTTCATGATTTCCATTCTTGTAGACTCGCCGCTTCCGAACAGATCATGACAGAAATACAGACCCTAGACTCCAAATCTGTCCCGACCCAAGCCCTCGTCAAATTTCTAGCCAAGAAACCCGGCCTGAAAGACACGAACTTCCAAGTGCTCAAAGCCAAACTGGAAGTGGTCAAGTACTTGGCGGAGAACTGCAAATTCACGATAACCACAGCGAACTGTTGCGTAACGGAAATCGCAGAAAAATTCTCCGACGCCAAGAACGGTACTGCAGTAGCTGAAACTCTCACCGCAATAGCGGAAGCGACTACTCTCGGGCTGGTGTCCGATTTAGTGCTGGATTTCGCCTTCGGCCAAAGGAGCCCCAAGGTTCAGCAGGAAGCGCTGGGTTGGCTCAATGTTTCGATCAAGGAGTTTGGATTTTCGTAAGCGACACACTGATTCTCATAAAATCTAGTTTCTTCAACTGTTTCTCGTTTGTTTTCAGTAATATAAACGTGAAGGGTCTCATCGAGAATAGCAAAAAGGGTCTGTCATCGACGAATCCTGCCGTCAGACAGACGACTATTTCTCTCCTGGGAACGATGTATCTTTACATGGGGGCCACGCTGAACGTTTTCTTCGAGAATGAAAAGCCTGCTTTGCGAGATCAGATCAATGCGGAATGTGACAAATATGAGGGGCAGAAGCCTCCAATTCCTACCAGAGGTTTGTATATTATGACTAATCCAAAATTCGGCAGTTACGGTAAATTTCAACAAATGACTCTTCGGAATGTTCCATATATATGTTACTTAAGATGGGGGACGAAGAGAGACCCACAGCCTGTCAAATTCTTGTTGATGAACGTCCTACAGACTGGATTTTCAATTTTTCCTCAAGTGGGAAAAAACCGGTGAACCTCCTGACTAGATAGCGCCAGTAGCTCAGGCCATTACTTGAAAAATGAGAAGAAGAATCTGCGTCTCCAAATTGAAAATATCCGCCAATGACATGTCCTCCAAGGGCTTTGTATTCCCATTATTATTTGCCATTATTATTTTTGCAATTGTAAAATTGCATTCTTTCGATGTTTCTTTTTCGAGAGCACAAGCACGAATGTGTGTTCGTATACTCTACACCGACTGACTTTGAGTTTGTTCTGGTTCTCAGTTTGTACTGTTTTGAATCCTCGGAAATCAGTGAGTCAGTCATGGATTGAAAACGTTTAAGTGACAAAATATACAGTATTTAGTTGGGTGACTGTTCGAGACAGTTCGGGCAGAAAACCAGAACAAACAGTAGAAAGTAGCATTGAGCCGATAATTATACACGTCAAAAGGATAACCACTTTCTTGTTTCCTATTTCGGTGATAGATCGTTACGTCACCAGCGATACTTGATGAATAAACTAGCTTAGGTAAACTAACTCTGAGTCTGTTCATTCTAAAAACATTGATTTATTTTTTTTTTATCGACTTATATATTCGAAATATTTAGTTTCTCTACAACGACAGTAGATCGGGTTATCATAACGCAATATGCAGCATTTTTGTTCTGGAGACTGGAGAGTGTTCTCGAAAGATTCGAAAGTTTTGCCAAGCAATGCATTCGTGGTCTTGCCTAACACCACTGATGAGGTATGTATATACAGGGTGTAACATAAGTACCTACGTTAAAATATTCAAGTGACATATGTATTCCTGAGACAATTTTAAGAAAAAAATTCTATATGAACTTGTGTCCAAAAATGCTTCGTTTCGGAGATACGGGGTGTTGAAATTGAATTTTTTTGTTCGCTTTTTGAAAATAACTCTTGCAAAAAATAAGTTATTTGCACGAAATTCGGTACCCGGGGTTTTTTTGACGTGGGAAATCATAATTTCGTATTAATTTTCATGTAACATCTAGAGGGCGCTGCGTACGCTGTCATTATTTATTTCAAATTGCCCTAA